GTTAAGTACTTGTTTCTGGGTTATCCAGTTTCTTTCAAGTTGGTAATTTGATGTTCTGATTTTTTTTTTTTACTTTTTGTGGACATTTTCCGGCATTTAGGATAAATGCAAACTCATGTGTCATGTTTAGACAAAATTCAAGTTCAGTTGAGGATAAATGTAACATTGTTTAACATTGTATGTTTGAACTCAGGGCTATAAGCCACTCCAGTATAGATAGATATAAAAAAAAAATGTAAGGCCCTGTCAGTAATTATTTTTTAGATGACTGTTGACTAAATGCCAAGAAATTGAACAAATTATCACTTGGCAGTGGCTGACCATGAAACAAATCCAGAATAAAAATAATACTCAGGTGCAACAGTCAGGCTTGAGATAAAATACCAGACATGGTACTGCATCCCAGACTTGAAAATGTATAACATTTCAAATATACTCCTGATGCAGCTGCTGTACAGCTGCCTCCTAACCAGCAGGTGGCAGCGTATCATAACAACTGGCCACACAAAAGACCACAAGGACTTCTTTCTGTTGATCGCAGAAAAATCTTCAGCTTCTGCCTGTCCGATAAGAACATGAGCATGTTACAAAACCTCACGACGGACTGCGCAAATGCTCAGACAAAATCCTCCTTGCTCTGAAAATAGTTTTGTTTTTTGCCGAGGTGTTGTGACCTTAACTGACCTTGACTATGACTGTAATGCAGTGCTACTCCATGTTTGTCTGTTTCTGATGATGTTCTGTTTGTCATTTAACTGCACTGGTGAAAGTGAATAAACATGTTTTCCAAGCTGAACCTGTACGAGCATTTGGTAAAATTCACATGGATGCATTCAGGTGCAGTGTGAGGCCGTAGGTCGTTTGCGTGCCATTTAGTTACAGCGTTATGAATGGTGGTAGCTTTTAAGTGCAAAGCCCTCGTCAAAAGCTGGTATTTTCTCGTGTCTTTTTAGATGCAGTTATGCAGGTAGTTTTGCTTTTATGCCAAGGTTTTAAGATATTTGTCTATATTTGATTACATTTTGGCTCCAAATTCCCAAGATATCCCATCTTAAAAACATGATGATTTTCAAGCAAGTTCTGGAGTTGCAGGGCCGTCTTTTTTTCTGTGATTTCTAAACAGATTTATGTGACGTTACCCCTGTAGAAAGTCACACTGAATCTAAACATATGCGTATCATGTCTGTTCCCTCAGATTAAACTGAGTTAGGACTCCGAGACAGAGTCAGAGAGACTTAATTTTGGCGCAAATTGGTTGTGTATAAGTTCCTTGTATGCCTAGCACCTCAAGCACTATCTTTGCCTTAAGTCTGAAGGGGAGGCACGCTTCACAGTTTGAAATCCATTTCAAAATATCACCAAGTAAGACCATAACTATCTGCATGGCTAAATACCACTGAAGGTAAATGACCCTTAAACCTAATAAAAAATAAATACTTTTCTGACCTGTAAACTTTGAAAGAGTGAACATTTCCAACACAAAGAGAGGAGCAATTTAAATAAATCTACTTGAAACAGACAAGCTTGTTTGTCCATAACTTTATTACCATTGACCAAAACCGTGTCAATACACAGCCTCCTTTATAAATATACATTATCCCACTGGGAGTCTGCTGAGGCCTTGGAGCTCGGTAATGAAGGCAAGAACATAGAGCTGGCAGGAATAAAGAGGAATTCAAAGAGCAAAGAGGGATAACTAATCAATATGAAGCGGTCTTCAGGGTGAACTGTGATTAACGAGGGGACAACAGGCAGACGAAAGGTGTGGGGGGGGTGGTGGTTGGTGGTTAATGAGATTATGGATGATGGAGGGCTGGATGGAGAGTGGATGGATGGATGAACAGGCTGCAGAAGACTGGAAACAGATGGAAGAGTAGCTGACAGATGGAGAGATGACAGGAACAGCGGAAAAGATTTTGTGGCATGCGTTTGGGGGGGTGAAGGATGTGGAAATGGTGTCTAACAGTGAAAGTGAGTGATTGCAGAGCAGCACCTTTTGGTTCAAACCCAGTCTGAGCACTGGTGGCTGTTCAGGTGCAATGTTTTATTGAAAATACTGAAAATATGTGTGCATTTTGAGAGTGTTAAAGCTTTGTTTCCATTGGCTTTACTAAGAATTGACTATGAATTCAAGGGTGGGCCTGCATTTAGATGATTAATAGTTAAGAGAAGCAACCTCATAATCGAATTGCACGCTCTTATTTACAAATACAGCTGCCCTTGAGCAAGGCACCTAACTTCTACCCGCTCAGATGAGGCACTTATTATCTGTGTCGAGTAAGGCTGGAATCGTACGTCCGTTTGTCGCCAAAGGCTTTACAAACCTAAATCAGATGACACTGTGGACTCATTCACATCTCACAGGCTACACCGTGTTGTGTAAAAACATGCACGACTGTGGCTAAATGAACATCAATGAAAGGAAAGCGAGTGTGCAGTGCAGTGGGAAGTTAACGTGCGACAGTGGTGCGATTACTGTTACATGGGGAACATTGCCCAGTGCAGCGGAATCAGTGGCTCAGTAGCACAGAGGAGCTCACACACACACACACACACACACACACACACAGTTTTCCGGCTTTGTCACATATTTACACACATACTGTACATACCCTGTCTTCTGGCACCATTTCTAAGAGCAAAACATTTACTATACTATATCTTAAAAACTATAAATATCTAACCGCACGCATGCTCTAAGGTTGTGGACACAAACTATACATACAAACAGAAAACTGAGCAATGGAACAACTCCAGTAAAAAGCATGTCTCCATATCTCCACCATGTCATTTTGATCTGTTTGTAAATGTCTTCTTCTTAAGCTAAATGAGCCATATCAAAACCCGTTTAACTATCAGTGTGTCAGAAAGCTGAAAACCGGCCGGCTTATTTTGGAGATATGTGGCTGTCACAGAGCAGAGATCCTCCATTGAAGCAATGGAAAATGTTCAGCTTGTATTAGCAGTCGGACAGACTTGTTTTTATGGAGTGTCCAGGAATATCAGAGGTCACAGGTTTGATTCCGCTAACAGCTGTTCAACTGTCCTGAATGAAAATACTTAAACTATGAGGTCGCTGAAATGTGATTTGAAATAAGTTTTTCATTTCGTGTAATATTTAATTTCAGTATCAGCCTGCTACAAAGTCATTTTCATGCACACATGCATACGTCCGTTCCATGTCATTTTGTTGCTCAGGAGGTAGAGCGGGTCGTCCACTAATCAGAACATGGGCGGTTCAAATCCCCAGCTCCTCCAGCTGCATGTCAAGCGTCCTTGAGCAAGATTTAAGCAAGATACTGAACCCAAATTGCTCCAGATGCTGTACATCGGTGTGTGAATGAGTATGAATAAATTAGTTTCTGTTTGCCATCAGTGTATGAACGTGGGGGACTGCAGCATGTAGTGTAAGTACATCCCATTTAGCATTTACCACCCATGATTAGTTACAAGATAAATGTGATGGCAAAACAGTAAGCAGAGGTAAAATGAATGGTTCAAAAACACTGCAATCGTGGCTCCAAACTGGAGCTATTGGGAAGAGAAATGTTGACTGCGTGCCCCATTTCCACCAGATTAGTTCTGGTTCTTGCACCAGTTCCTTGAACTGTCCATAATAGGGTCAGCCTACACTACTGTATTTTAATGTCAGCCATAATGGTGGTACTTGCAGAGCCTAACATTTTTTTATAAGTGGTACGTGGTGTAACAAGTTTTAGAAACACTCCTCTACATAAAGCCAACATCTAAATCATCCCTTGTAGATCATCTCCATGCAGCACTATTTCAAAAGTGACAGAATGAGACCTTAAAGCAGCTTTTCAAGCAGCTTTTTAGATGATAGAGAGCCGGCTGTGTAAAAAAGAAAGTTCTAAGGAGTTAACAAAACTGTGTACCGCAGGTAAAAATCACCCAGCAAGGTGTAACCAGCAACCTGAAGGGGACCTCTCTCATGGCTGTCATTTTGTCATGTCAAAACAGGAACAGCTTTAATGATGTTAATAATGGCTGCATTCCATTTGGGTTTGCCAGCTGAGCCCCCTGCTGCATGCTGGCTCAGCTGGCACAACTAAATGTCACCAAGCCATTAATGTTATTAGTTACAGCAATGTGACTAATAGCAATACTAATGGCCTCATTATGTGTTTGTCTGCTGTGACAAGTCTAAACGTGAGAGCATGAGAGCAGTTTGCAGTTGTTAAAATAATTATTGCTCCATCACCTGTGAGTTAATAATACTTAAGTTTACTTACTTTTTATCACCTTAGCACCTTGGAAGGTTACCTGGAAGTCTCCTCAGTTTCATCTCCTCAGTGGAGCGGAGGCTTCAGCGGATGTTTAAGTCACAGGAATGTTTCTACCTCAGCGTCACAAATTTGTACAAATTTGTACAAAAATGGGTGGATGGAAACCTACTTAGTGAGAAAAGTTGTGATGCATTCTCTACTAACTCTGACATTTTGGTTTCAGTTCATAAATTGAATGAACTGAGACATTTTCAGTGTTTTCATTTTTGATCCTTTTCCAAAATAGCCATGACCACTTGCCCTAATCTTAACCAGCTTTCTCAAAGTCATCAAACTAATGTTGAAACAATGGCTAGATGGCTACAAAACATCCGCTTTGTAACTAAAAGTGTTTTTGCAACATAATGCAACTTTGTCATCGTAATACCTTGTATTGTTGCACATTGTCGAGTATTTCAAAGTTTGCGCTCTGTGTAGAATCCCTATAGTGTAATAATCTAGTCAATGCAGATAAAAAAAAACCTTGACTACAGCGTGTTATTAACCATCCAAACATCAGAAGCAGAAGTGAAAGATGTACAAGGTGATGCTGAGGGAAGGAAGGAGGGGAGGTTAAACAGGTCACGGCCGAGACGAAGAGAGAGAGGGAGGAAGAAAGCGAGGCGTAAGAGGGGTGTAAAAGCGAAGAGGAGGAGGGGGATGAAA